CTTTGATTTCGGAGGAAGAAAAGACGTGGAAGCAAAAGTTTCCCACAGACGGCGCCACTAATCTTACTTGATCAGAAAGGGGATCAGCAGTTAGCAACACGTCGTGAGTTCCTAGTTCGCCTGTGGTGGAGAAGAGGATGTGTTGTACTTGCAAAGCACTCTGATGGTAAAGTAAGTTTCAGCGAGAGAGAGAGAGAGATAGAGAAAGCAAGTATAGGAAATAGTTAGAATACCTGACCCTCTTGTGAAAGAGGGTATTAATAATGTGCTGCAAGCGTTGGGCCAACAATTATCTGCACTGGGTTGGGTCATTAGGCCCAATACGGATAACTGTCAAGATCTACGTGGTGTAGGGAAGACTAACACGTGGTCTTCGTCCTGAGTCAACTGCCCCATGAACTTTGAAAAGTGGAAAACCTATTCTCTCGGATGCAGGAAATTGGCTGATAATGTGTCTCCGCGTGGGGAGCACGTGGAGACCGTGGGGGAGACGCGTGAGGAGCATTCCCGTGCAAGTTGATAGATTGGGTCTTTATTGAAACTCCAACGAAGAGTTGTTGGGTCAGCCTCTAGTCCAATCCAGAATAATTTTAATTCTATTTAAAAGTGTTTAAATAATATTATTTTTTAATACAATATACAATTAAAAAAACTCATAAATATTTACATACATTTATGTTTCTCAGCTGTATCCGCATTAAAAAAAAAGCTGACAGTTGAACCTTAGTAAGTCATAGCATTGTTACCAAAATAAGAGCGACAAATAAGTGCGGAATATTTTGGAAGTGGTCCACTTGCATAGTCACGAGTAACGTCGCAGCCTAAAGAGGTGATTGTGCTCCACCTCACAGAATCAATATTAAACACAGTACACAAAAGCTGTTCCATTACCAAATAGATTCCTTCCCTACTCAAAATATGTACTATGAAATCAAAACAAAACAAAAGTTAGAAACATTGAATTGGTATCATTTTGAATTTAACAGGTTCTAGAAAATCAATGATAAGATTATGCCCTCTCTTTCACATGCCAGAGTGTCTATGACTCAAAATCGCAATAATCAATATTAAAGAGCATTACTTGTATTCACATCACAAAATTGAGTAATTTATTTTCAACTAATTAATTAATAAATTTTCATTTTATTCACTCAATTTTAAAATTGAATAAATAAAATTTTCCCTTTATAATTATTGAGAAAAGGATGATGCAGTTTCAGTGTAAATTAAATATAATTCTCTTCACTTCACTCGTTCATATCTGAACAGAACCCAACCACCACTCTCAACCATGGCTGCCATACAGTTTCTACTCAAGAGATCAACCAAGCCTAACGGTTCCGATTTTCTCGCATGCAGACCTTTCTCTTCTCTCGGATTCTCCTCCTCCACCTCCGCCGTTACCGCCACGCAAAACATCACTACTCCACCGCAGATTCCGCCGTTCGATCACCAGCCTCATCCCTATACAGGACCAACCGCCGATCAAGTATTCGCTAAGCGAAAAACGTTCCTCGGTCCTTCTTTATTCCACTACTATCAGAAACCCGTCAGTTTCGATAATCATCCTCATCGCTCTGCCTCGTTTCATATATTTAATTTACTTTATTATTTATTTATGTGTATAGAAGAAATTAATGGATCGTGTTTGATTTGAATCTGAATTTGAATAATGTGTGTAGCTGAATATTGTGGAGGGGAAGATGCAATATCTGTATGATGAGAGTGGAAGGCGGTACCTTGATGCTTTTGCTGGGATAGTCACTGTTTCTTGTGGACATTGTCATCCAGAGATTTTGAATGCTATCTTTGAGCAGAGTAAACTTTTACAGCATGCAACTACTATTTATCTACACCACACTATCGCCGAGTTTGCCGAAGCATTGGCAGCGAAAATGCCTGGAAATCTTAAAGTGAGTGAATCTTATCCTTGCTATTAGTTTTGTTATGTTGTAGCATGATAATGATGATGATGACGACGATGATGACGACGATGATGATGATAATATGATGATAATATGATTGCACGGTGTTCAATTTTGTAATGTGTTAGGTTTTCATTTAATGATGAAGGTAATTGGCAACTTTTGAATTGCAGGTTGTTTATTTTGTAAATTCTGGTTCGGAAGCAAATGAGTTGGCAATGTTGATGGCTAGGTTGTATACTGGTAATCTTGGTATGATTTCTTTAAGGAATGCGTATCATGGAGGAAGTTCTAGTACAATAGGTCTCACCGCGCTTAACACTTGGAAATATCCAATACCGGAGGTTTGTTGCTCTCTTCATATTTCATCGTAATACTTCAATTTATCAATTGCTCCTGCATTTGCTACTTTTGAATTTGAATAAAAGTTAATTTTGCAGTATACTCCATACATTTAATCAGCCAACTATGTTTTCTTCCCTTGATATAGTGATTGCACACTTGCAGCTATTCATAATTCATTCCCTTGTTAACCTGTTTTACTCACTTGAAGACTGAATTCAAGATTTGAGAATCAAATTTATAGTGTACTTTTTGTATAAGCAAAATTAGTTCTCAGATTGTTTGGGCAAACTTGATGTCTTGAACATTGAAAACTTTCAAATCTGTTTCTGACATTGTTCGTTTTTGTTGAAGCAGAACCCAACAAACAATAAATTCAGTTTGCAACTGCTTACTCTAAGATAGTCTGGTTTAGTAATACAGTTGTGAATATTCACTTTTCTGTTATAGATAGTACAATTTAATTATGCTTGACATCATTTTGAACCTTTTAGGGTGAAATTCATCATGTTATGAACCCAGATCCATACCGCGGACTCTTTGGCGCAGATGTTAATAGTTATGCCAAAGATGTCCAAGAACATATTGACTATGGCACTTCAGGAAAAGTTGCTGGATTTATAGCTGAAACAATTCAGGTGTGTATACTCTATCATGTTCAGTTTTTAAAATGGTAATTAGATTAGCCTGCCTTTTTATTTACTTTTTTTACACGACTTGTTCTAGGGAGTTGGAGGAGCTGTTGAACTCGTACCTGGGTATTTAAAACATGTCTATGAAATTGTACGCAAGGCCGGTGGTGTCTGCATTGCAGATGAAGTGCAAACTGGGTTTGGCCGCACTGGAAGCCATTATTGGGGATTTGAGACACAGGGTGTTATTCCTGATATAGTTACAATGGCAAAGGTATATATGAAAATCTTATATTAATTAGTTCCTGAAACCTTGGCATGCATGTACATCTTTTAAGCTTCATTTCATGTTTTTCCTTAAGTTTTATAGCTCAAGATTTTTCGTTCTGCTGTCTTTTAATTATAGTATACTTTTTCATTTGTGCTATATTTTCATTATGGGATTAGAATATATTTTCTTCCAGATTTTTATCTTTCATATCTTTTGCAGTTACTCCATTGTAACTCATGTTAATCTGTATTAGGGTATTGGCAACGGTTTGCCACTAGGAGCTGTAGTTACAACTCCAGAAATAGCAAGTGTGATGGCCCAGAAGATTCAATTTAACACTTTTGGTGGAAACCCTGTCTGTTCTGCCGGGGGTCTTGCAGTGCTCAAGGTTCTGGATAACGAGAAGCGTCAGGCTCATTGCGCTGATATTGGTTCTCACTTGCTTGAACGTTTGAGATCACTTCAGCAAAGACATGACAGTAAGCCATTTTTTAATATAACATCTTCGGAATAGTTAATTTTGCAATATAGTTTTTATGGCATGTTTGCACTTTCGAGCTATCTATGTAAATGCCTTATTAGGTTAAGGGATCTCCGTTGCATGATTTGAGCCTGGTTTATTGATCTATTATAGTTAGCATGTAGCTGCATCATATGTATTCACACAAAAGACTATTTCTCATGTTGCTGCAATTTTGTTGATTATTTTCATAGCTATTATTCTATAATGTGACAGTCATTGGTGATGTGAGGGGAAGAGGCTTAATGCTTGGGGTGGAGCTTGTTACTGATCGAACAAATAAAACACCTGCAAAGGCTGAAACTGCTGTCTTGTTCGAAAAACTTAGAGGTGAGGCAAAAGTCATTTAATCATGCATATGAAGCTGTGTTTTTCAATATATGTTCCTAATAAATCTTTGAATCATCTACTTGCATATGGATTGTAGAACTTGGTATTCTAGTTGGGAAAGGAGGACTGCATGGAAATGTTTTCAGGATTAAGCCACCAATGTGTTTCACTAAAGATGACGCAGGTATAATTCCATCTTCGTTCTCTTAATATTGACGCCTCTAATCTAGCCAAAATATTATTCCACTGACCATTCTCTTTGCTTGCAGATTTTCTTGTGGACGCCTTGGACTATTCTATATCGAAGTTGTGAAATGATTATGGAACCTGCTAGCATCAAATAAAATCCTTGATAATGGAGGCAGATTGCTAGAAGGCAGCATCAATTGTAAACACATATGTGCTCGCAAAGTGTTATGACCACTAATGAAATGTTCATCGGTTGGGAAGAGGATTTTTTTCTTTTTTAAGTTGGTACATTATTTATGAGTTAAACTTGAACTAGTGTGTATAATCTTGAGTTTTATGGCATCGAAAATCTGCAATCAGTTGTAGAGTAATGTTAAATCCATATTCTTATTTTATTATATTTAAGGGATTGTTTGTATAAGATCGATGGCTCCAATTTGAAGCTCAAAAATCATATTTTACATTCTTAAGAAATTCAAAACACATTTAGAAAAAATGACATTGTTGAGGTCTCTAGAGCGTGATAAAGAAACTTGTCTAGGAAGAAACACTTGAATCATGTTCAAAACATCTAGCTTTACCATTAAGTTATACACATTTTACATTATGAATATCAATAGACTCACCATAATCACCTATCATAAATGGCAAGTCATATTTACAAACTTCATAAGGCACATCCTTGCCAACAACCATTGGACATGGTTTTGAATGTAGACACTTGATAAGTTGGGTCATAATCATGACCATGGTGTCAAAATTACAAGTTTATTCTATCTCTTGCTTGAAGACTAAGCAGGATCGCGAGGTCGATCGGCCCAAAGTTTGCTCAAATTCCTTAGGCGTTGAAAATATTCACCCAAAGCAAGCAGCCATCGAGCCGTTTGACGTATGGTAAGTATTCGACACATCTGCTGCAAGGTTTCCTGTCGTAGATGATCCGCCTGTTTGACAATATTAGACTTGAGTTCAAATTTCTATTACCCTAATCTAACCTACAAATTGAAGTATATAATATACATTACCTGGTTCACAAAGCTAGCTAGAGCTTCCAACCTCTCTATTGCAGTAGCCATCTCTGGAATGTAAATTCCTTCGACGAAGTTTCCTGCTGCGACTGTGTCAACAAGCATTCCCTGGAGTTTTTCCATACCTTTTGAGAGAGCATCTTCTGCTTGCTGGCATGACTTCTCAAGATTATATGCATCAAACCGTTGCTCCTCCGTCAATGGTTCAATCAAAGGCACCAGAACCTGTAATTCTCATCAAAACATACATTATGCCATAACAGAAATATGAAAATCAGCATAACCCTTAATTGATCAAAATAAGCCTTACCTTTAGAAGTTCAGAGGGGCGAAAACCTCCAATCCACAAGAAAAACCCTTCAGCCGTTGTTTTCCACATGCCGGTGATAACATAGAAAACATCTACTTTTGCAGCATCAGACTTCATGCAGAAGAGTTTGAAGTAGTGATTCATGATGCCATTTACAAGTTCCCCAATCTGTATGTCACTGATATGAGCACTTAAAGCACTTTTCAATTCCAAGATTTGTCTGTTTTGCTCTTCCACCCAATGTTCATACTCCATCTTAAAAGTTGCTATTTCTGTAAATTAGGCGAATTTAGAGTCCAAAAACTAGTTTTAGAAAATGAGTTTAATACAAAGAAAACTAGTTTAACCGTTAATTCCTTAAACACTCAAATTAATTTATCAATTATCAGTCATCAGCTACCAATTAGGTTATCAGCTATCAGCTATTTTTACGAAACATAGCCTCAAGTATATCTTAAGGCTAGTAGAGACAAACCAATTCCAAGAAACAGAATTTAATAAAAAAACCTGAATTTGCAGAACCAGCAAAACCCGAATGATTAGAGTCCGGTCCACCACCATACGATCCCTGTAGTTTTGTTGTATCAAGAGATTGATTGACAAAAGAGGGTGAGAAAAACAAGTAGTTATAGGAGTGGTTAACTAAGCTTCACATTACCTGTTGTCTTGTATGATCAAGCTCTTGCTCCACCTGCATCAGCTTTAAGCGACACGATTCTAATTGTTGTATATGAGCCTGTAATGAAACATCACAATCAAATGCTTGTTTGTTTGGTACATCTTCGAATGTATGAAGTTTAAAACTCCAAACCTTTTTCTTCAAACGACTCTTACGAGCAGCCTCTCGATTTTGCGCGAGACGTCTTTGCATCTGCATGTTTTCATCACCTTATAAGCATAAAAAATGCAAGCCAGACATCCAAAATTTGGAAGCAGGGGAACCTCCTAATCTGCAGTGCAAAGTGAGTCCAAAATGTTGTTCTAAAATACTTTTCAATATCACTCAAAGTTTCTACAAAGTTCGAGACACGACGATTCATCAATATAGTCTGAAATGGTTATCGATTGATCAAATCGGTTCCTTAATTAACAAAATTTTAAAATGGTCTCTAAAATCGAATTTTTTTTATCACATTATCCTAAATGGACTAATGCGACTGAAGATTTTTATTTTCTAGAAATATCAATTTATGCATTTAGAGATAAGTTGAACTTAATATTGCACATGCAGTAAGTATCTAAAGGTTCCCGCATAAAAAAAAAGTTTATCTGATAATTATTTTAAACAAAAATTCATTGAATAAATGATATATCTGATCTGTATATAGTTTAGATATATCACGGTGATTTTGACAAACTCATTACGATATCAAGGAAGTGGTATAATTAGTAACAGAATCTTACCTTATTAGTAATTTTGTTACCTTCTTGCTCAAACTTGATAGATGTTCCTAGTATTCCATAAGAAGCATCCTTAACAACACAAAAGAATATAATTAGTAGTAAAAATAGTCCTTATTTTTGATATGCAAAAGAAAGGTGATAAACATAAATTTGGTAAAATCTTGCACTCTAACCTGATTATTTATCTTCATGTCAGCCTCCTCAATCAAAGACATGGATGCACTTAAATCACCATTAGTCTTGAAATGTTCTTCCCATATACTAAATTGATGCATAGGATCATATACACCAATATTTCTTGAGGAAACAAATTGGGAAGATGAAGAATCCATGCTAATTAATCATAGAAACAAAGTCAAACATTTTCAAAAACAAAACAAAAAATGAATACATAACAAGAAGAAAAAAGTAGAGATTAATCATAGAAAAGAGCAAAACACAAACAAGTTGTTGTAATCTAATAGTACAAAAGCTGTTATGTTTTTTTTTTTTTTTTTTTTTGTATTGATTTGATTAGATTACCTTTTTCTCGTACTTGGTTCTTCCTCGATTTCCTCGGAAGATAAATTTTTAAAATATAAAATATATGAGAATTATTATGAAGCTTTTTCTATTTATTTTCAACTTGGTGGTGAGTCACCATAAAAAATTACAGAAGAAAATTCTTAACGCAAACAATTATCCAATTCAATCTCTTCCAATTGCCAGCTTCTATCATGAAAAGACGAAAGATGAAAAATTATAAAATATAATAAAATAAGTGGCACGACATGTATATATTTTTATATTAATGGTGGTGAATAAAAGAAATTATTTATAATTTGAACTTTGTGTCATTTTATAAGGTAGAAGTTGTGTTGTGGAAATTAGAGAGAGTTTGTATTTTTATGTTGTTTGTTGTGTTTGCTGACGTTGGGTCCATTTCTGCTTGGCTTGAGATGTTGTGCAATGCCACGGACAGTCAATGCTTTCACACCTATAAATAAGTTTGATGTACTATTTATCTGAATTATTTGAATTTCTTAAAAAAAATTCTCTAATCAAGAAGAAAAATTAAAACTACAAAAAAAATCGTCAAACTCCTTAAGTGTTTTAACTTTACCATATTTTTTTAAAAAAAGTCTCACCACCCTTTGATGTCTAAACTCAAATAAAAATTATTAAGCAAAAATCTTGTCTCACTTGTTTAATATTTTATTATTATAAATTAGTCTTTTAAATTTTTTTTTCTACAATTTAGTTCTTTATGCTAAATAGCGTCTACATTGTTGACTTTTTTTTTTACAAACTTGGTTTTAAAAACGTTTATTCATTTAACATCGATAATGTGTTATTTTATTTTATTTAATATTAATTTTTTAATTACACATGAATTTTATTTTTATATTCTTTTATTTATTTTTATTTTTTAAATATTTTATTTCTATTTTTTTTGTATTTTTAATTTTTTTTAATATATTTAAAATCTGATTTTTATTATATATATATATATATATATATATATATATATATATATATATATATATATATATATATATATATATATATATATATATATATATATATATATATATATATATATATATATATATATATATATATATATATATATATATATATATATATATATATATATATATATCCCTGACTACAATTTTCATGCAAAATGCGAAAAGCTGCAAATTATCGACATCAATTTTGCGGATGATGTTCTCCTCTTTTCCCGTGGGGATGAAAAGTCAGTTCAGCTGCTTATAGATCAACTGCAAACGTTCTCGCAGTCCACTGGGTTAATGGTTAACCCTGCAAAGTGTAGGGTGTACTTCAGGGGTGTGGAAAATGAGACAAAAAACAATATCTTGGCTGCTACTTCGTTTATGGAAGGGGACTTACCCTTTCGTTACCTGGGGGTTCCTCTCACCAGTAAAAGGCTTTCAACGCAGCACTACATGAGTTTGGTGGACAGAATTGTCAACCGGATTCGTCATTGGAGCTCCAAATTATTGAGCTATGCCGGCAGACTCCAGCTGATCAATAGTACTGTAACTGCTATAGCAGCTTATTGGCTGAACTGCCTCCCTTTCCCCAATCATGTGATCAAAACTATTGAGTCTATCTGCAGGTCTTTTCTGTGGACAGGTAGCGAGGCGAAGTCGAGGAAATCCCCAATTGTGTGGAAGATGGTTTGTAAGCCTCTGAGGCAGGGAGGGCTGAATGTGCTGGACTTATTAGAGTGGAACACAACTTGTTTAACAAAATTGTTGTGGAACTTATGCAACAAGAAGGATTCTCTTTGGGTGAAATGGATTCACACTTTCTATCTCAAGACAACTGATATTCTGCAGGTCCAGGAAAAACAAGGTATGTCTTGGATTTTCAAAGCTCTTCTTAGACATAGAACCATCATATTTGCCATGGAAGATTGGAATGAAATGAAGGATAGATACTCTGTGGGAAAAGTGTACCAGTTCCTCAAGAAAGATGAACCTGATGTTGGATGGAAGCACACGTTCTCCAACTCTATTGCTAGACCTAGAGCCCTTTTTGCTATGTGGATGGCTTGCCACCGTCGTCTTGCGACAAGGGGACGGCTCAAAAAGCTTGGCCTTACGACCGATGACAGTTGTAAATTCTGCAACAAGGAGGAAATAATTGACCACCTCTTATTCGATTGCCCGCCGTTCAAGAACTGTTGGCAGCAAATTCTGGCGTGTTTGGGGATTCATCATTTCCCGTGTGAGTGGCGTGATGAGCTCAAATGGTTGGTCACACATTGTAAAGGGAAAGGCTGGCGGAAGTGCATATTGCGTAGTGTTGTAGCGGAAACCATCTATGAAGTTTGGAAGTATCGTAACAATGTCGTCTTTGGCACTAATGTGAATTTGGAGATTAGAGACTTAGTCATTTCTACCCTTGCAAATAGAGGGTGGGTCAATTCTAGGATGAGACATCATATTGCTACACTTTTTATAGAATAGTGGTGGAGTTTTTGGGTGTTTTGTGATTGGGGTTTGTTTTTGTTATGGACTGGGTCCCGATATGAACTATGCTGGCCCAGCCCAATAATGTTCCACCAGGCCTTGCCCGGTCCGAGCTACCGAGTCGGGCACAAGATCCCCGACTTGCTAGAATGACCTCCCCACGGGGAGGAACCGGCTTAACCACGTCGGGCAAGTGAATCACCTGTGCGGCCAAGCAACGCCCTCCGCGGACGGTGTTCCCCCATGCCGTCGAGCAGGACCCCATGGCTCTCCTATGTCCACGTGTGCTCCCCTCCTCAGGGAGAACAACGTGCCTCCGGGGAACCTCGCGAGCCCTCCTCCGCGGGGACACGTCATCCCTCAACTGCCCACCTCCGAAAGAGCAGGTCAAACCCACTTTCCGGAGACCACGGGACAGTTGGACTAGGGCGAAGACCATTTCCTGGTCTTCACTACGCCACGTAAGCCCTAGCAGTCACCTGGGTTGGGCCTGACAATCCAGCCCAACACAAGTGACCGTTGGCCCAGCGATGGGGTCTCTCTATAAATACCCTCTTTCTCAAGAGGTCAGGTAATTCACTTCTTACCCCATTTCTGTACTTTGCTCTCACTCTGCCCAATCCCTTACTTTGGCATCGGAGTGTCTTGCAGGTACACCCCCTTCTCCTCCTCATCACCGGTGAACAGGTAGCAGTCCAACAGCGTGTGGCCAGCCCGTGATCCCCTTCTGATCGGGTCAAATCAGTTTTATACCCTTGTATATTCTCTTTTTGATTTTATATAAAATCTTTATTCAAAAAATAATAATAATAATAATAATAATAATAATAATAATAATAATAATAAATTAAAAAAAAAAATTAAAATCCAGATGGAATTTCATATACATACATTATGATTTACATCAATTTCATACATACTCATCTCTGAATTTTATAGATATATTTCAATAGTGCAACATCCTATTACTTGTATTGCAAGATACTCTTATAATATATCAGTACTTCTCTAGCATAACTTTTAACCCATATTATCTATTACATATTCACAAAATATCAATGACTATCAATCTTACATTACTAATGTTAGGGAAGTTGTTCAACCTGCTGAATTTAATCAATGAAACGCTAATAATATGGTCAATTGTTGCTCATAATTTGATATGACTCAAAGAACAACTTGTTCTAATTCTCAAGACACAAAACAATTTTATTTTTCTATTATTTGTAAACTCAGATTTAATACGGGAAATGATGATGATTATGTCATTGAATAGAAAACAAATAAAAGGGAACAAAATAAGAATTTCATTAAAAAAAATCATAATTTAAATATATTAAAAACAAATTAAAAAAACATTAAAAAAAATACAAAAAAAATTAATAAAATAAAAAAGTAAATTTAAAATTTTTACAAATATAAATTAAAAATTAAAAAAAATGTTTAAAAAAATAAATTAAAATTCATGTGTAATTAAAAAATAAATAAAAAAAAATAAAATAACACATCATCGCTGTTAAATGGCACATCATCTCCGTTTGTGACACAAAAGTGTTTTTGGAATGAATTTTGTGAAAAAGATCAGCTACGCAGACGTTACTTAACATAAAGGATTAAATTGTAGCAAAAAAACTTAAATGGCTAACTTGTAATAATAAAATAACTTAAAGGATCCAGATAGTACTTTTGCCAAATTATTAGGATACTAACCCTTTGGATATTGGAGATAACAAGTACTATTTGAATCCTAAATCAAACACAATAATAAAATGTTACATGTTGATGAAGAATTATAGACAACGATAAATGGAGATTCGAAGGAGAAGAAGAAATATTGGATTAATAATGGTTATTTATTTCACAATGCCTCCATGACTATATAAGGACGAATAGATTGTAAGCTAACCAATTATTGACAAGGGAATCTAACAAGCCTAACGCCTCATCGGTCTAGTAAGCAAAATGACAAAATAGGGAAAATAACAAAATAAAGAAACTGACAAATGATTTGAATCCTTGAAATCCTTTAACAATATCCGCCCCTTAACAACATATATGTCCTCATGGGTGAAAATTAGAAAACTTCTTCAATAAGTCATAGTAAAACTCCCAAGTTGTTTGATCAAGAGATACATCTTTTCATTGAACCAAGACCTTGGTGGCCGTCTTGCATCCTCACTTGACCATTTTTCTATCCAAAATGGCTATAGGAATTCTGCCAACATGACTCATAGGAGCTAGAAGATGTTGAATTGACTAAACATGGGGATTTTGGCAAAGCTTCAATTGAGAGACATGAAAAACACTGTGGATAGTAGTAGAAGGTGAGAGTTGTAACTGGTAGGCAGTTGATCTAATGTGGTCTTCGATTAGAAAAGGACTATAAACCTTAGGTAAGAGTTTCTGAAAACCATGTGATTTCCTAGACACTTGCCTATATGGTGGAGCTTGAGGTAAACATAGTCTCCTATAGCAAAGACACGACCAGATCTATGATTATTGGCTTTTTTTAGTCATCTTATACTATGCACGAAGAAGATGGAATTTGAGCAACTTGATAGCTTCTTCTCTTGCAAGCAATGGTTTTTCTACAGTCATAGTGGAATAAGAGCTTAGGAGATAGAGCAATGTATAAAAGTAGGTTGACCATACACTATATCAAAAGGAGTGGTCTGGATGGAAGAATGGTATTTAGTGTTATACCATTATTCAGCTAAAGAGATCCATTTATACCACTACTTTGTTTGACCTGAGCACATACATCTCATGTAGGTTTTTAAACATTTATTCACTACCTCAATTTGGCCATCAATATGAGGATGGTAAGCGTAGGATTCTTGCAATGCCACACCTTGAAGTTTGAAAAAATCATGCCAAAACGTATTGACGAAAATAAGGTCCATGTTAGTGGTAATTGATTCAAGCAGTCCATGCAATTTTAATACATTATCGATAAACAATTGTGCCACATCAAGTGCAATATAAGGGTTGGATAAAGCCATAAAGTGGGCATACTTGTTAACTCTATCAACTACAATAAACGACTTGTTTACCTACAGAAGTAGGAAAACCCTTCACGAATTCCATACTTATATGAGTCCATATTTGGTTTGGAATAGGAAGGGACTGTAGGAGACTAGGGTAAGTGATAACTTCTCGGCAAGTGTATCGATAATGTCGCAGTAATAAATAAGATCGAATCCACGAAGATTGCTTTTTAGCAAGATAAATTTGTGCAATGTATAGAAAATAGTAAATTAGGGGGAGGGTTTTGAGTTTGCAATGTGCAAAAGTAAATAAGTGTTTAGATAAAATTGAGAAAGCGGTTAGTTTGTGTATTAAATCCCCTATTTCTCTATTGTTGATGTTTGATGCCTTACATGAATAATCTTATCTCTATAATCCCACTGTGAATTAACAATACCACTATAACCGATCCCTTGCGAAATAGCTCACTAATCACTACTCGAAGTTTCTTATCCCTAGTCCACCAGCGTAAGCAGGATTAGGCGATGCATATAATGTTAATTCCCTATGCCACTACTCGGGGTCTCCTATTCCTATTTAACCAGCGTAAGTACAACATTTGCCCTAGGGCCAACACATAAACTAATGGTCAGTATTCCCTATGTGTCCAAAATCAATTTAAAAGAGTATCTCACATAAAAAACATTAAGAACAATAAGCAATTGAATAGAATTATAGATAAAAGTATTCATAGAAAGTCAAATCAACATATCACCCAACAATATTAAAACAGGTTCATCATACACAACCTAACCTAGGGGAGTTTAGCTACTCATAATTCATATTACAATACCAAATTGATAAAGAAGAATAACATATGATTTTCCTTGAAGGATTGGTCTCCAATGGCTTCAAATGCTCTTCAAATCACCCTTTATGTTATAAAAATCATACTTACAGTGCTAGTTTTCATAACCCTTGCAAAAGTGCAGAAATTTCCCTTAAAAGGAGCTCAAAATGGATCAGAACACGTCAGAAAAAGCCCAGAAAAAGGGGACAACACACATGATAACCAGCATTGCACGCGCGATGCAACTAGTACAGATCTATCACTCGCGTGATTCCGCGCGTGATTATTCCAGTAGCTTCACACTTTTTCTCCCTTTTTCACCTGATTTTTTACCAAGTCTAATTTCTTCACACTTAACTATTTTTTCCTCATTCTCTGGTATTTCTTCTTTATTTTAGCTTTTGTTTAACTTGTTTTAATCCGATTCTTTGACTAAGTTCATGAAATGATGGACTGCCATCAAAATCCCAAACTTGAATTGTTGCTTGTCCTTAAGTAACCCGCCTGCACATTTCAACAGAAAACAAGTCGCACAATAACAATTGAACATCACCATATAAATTTTTCTTTGTCTGACCATCATTTATAGCTTCCAACTTCCATCCAAAAAATTCAGAAAACATCCTCAAACCTTGACGAGTACTTAACTTGTCTCTCACCTCACTTTGACTCACTTAATGGGCAAGGTCGTCTCTTAATCAACATGAAAAACAAGTTATGCTTAGCTTGATCATGTTTTAATATAATTCATCACAAAAATCACAACACACACATTTGAGATTTTTTAAGGTTGTATCTTGGCTTATATTCAGGTAGGATATTTTAGGAAAGTAGGTTTAAACATTTTGAGTTAGGTGCCTAGTTCTCCTTATATTCTCATACCCCTTTGTTCCTTCTTGATGGTACTAGAGACTTGCTCCATATTATGCACTTTTGTATTATTTTACTCTCTTTTTTAAGTGACTTTTTCCACTTCTTATTTTCTTAAATTGTTTGAATTTTTTGACCAATTTTCTCTAGTAACCCAACCCCAAACTTATAATTTTTCTCACTTCCAAGAGCAACCTCAAACTTAATATTTTTCTTACAACTTAAGAACTATACTTCTACCTAACTCCAATAAGAGGGTGGAAAGAAAATATCTTTCAAGTCATATGGCTAAGAATTTTAGGCTACGTCA